CCCCTCAACTTCACCTACTCTTTCTCTCTGTTTCGAACCCACCTTGCCCTATTCTGCACTGCAATAGGCCCAAAGCAGCTTCTTTATACACATCAGAGGAGGGGATGGGGAGTGGGGTGGAGGGAAGGGTGGGAAGGGAGTGGGAACAGGGATAGCTATGTAAAAAGATAAAAGATTGCATTAAAATATTCTTAAAAAGAAACCTTGTCTCCATTAAAAAGAAGTGCTCTCACAGCTGGATCTTAGGGAGGCATTTTCTCAATTGAGGTTCCCTCCTTTCAGATAACTCCAGCTTATGTCAAGTTGACAGTAAATTAGTAGGCACAAAGGGGGTTCATTTGCAGTTCCTGGAATTGGACATGGGAGTGAGGAATGGCCACAGATAGGCATGAGGTTTCTCTTGAGGTATGTGGGGAACAGTGACAGTTAAAAAGTTAGGCTGTGGTGGTGAGGAGACCCCCGTATATTCAGACACCATGTTTTTGAATTATGTGCTTGCAACAGGTAGATTTTATGATTCCTGAAAAGTACTTCATTAAAGCTTAAAAATATGTTAATGCAGGATCATAGAAGAAACACTGCACTGGTCACTGGGTACAGGGAGAGGGCACAGCTATTGCAATAAGAGGGTAGTGAAGAGAGGTGCAGGGGCTGCTTGGGGTTTCCCTGAGCAGTGTCCAGGGTTCTGAAGGTGGTGGTCTCTTCTGCTCGAGCACATAGGCTTGGTGTTTTGGTCACAGACATGTACTATGGAGCATCTACCGATAAGTCTTTATATCTGGGGACTCCTCATGCCATGCAGTAAAGTGGGTGACCCATCCATTGTCAGAGCCCAGGACACTCAGGGCCGCACACAGCAGGTGTACATATCACTGTCCGTGTTAAATCCTTTGAACTTTAATTGAATCCAAGAGTGTGTCAGTGACACACTGTCATGGTGGATTCTTGGGAAGTCAGTAACGTGGGAGATGGAAGAGAGGAAGAGAGGAAAGACGTGATGTGGGAGGAATGAGGAATGGCAGAGGAGAACGGAACAGACTACACGGAGGGGACAGGCAGGCGTTAGAGCAGAAGAGGAAGAGGAAAGACGAATACTGTGACTGTTGATGACAAGGATGCTACCTCCCATCAGCAAGCCTTTGTCATATGCCAGGAATGACCTCTGTACAGGACCTGAGATCCAACCATCACCAACAATCTTCACACCCTCAGCAAAAAATTGACTTGTTAGTGGCCCATTTTCCATACGAGGACGCTGGGCTCAGGGAGGTTAAGGCACCTCACCTTGTAGCTCACCCAGCCAGGTTTAGCATCCTTCTAGCTTCCCACTCTCCTAGGGGACACAGTGACTGTCTGGATGTGAACACAGTGATGGTTGGACCTCTGACTTGAGCTTTGAGCTTCTGAACAACTCAGACTTAGGTAGCTTTATCCTATGGCCAGCAGACAACTCATTCAAATTCCCCTTCGGTCTCTGAGCCAGGGTGCCCAGTGGGTCTTACAGTGTTGGAAGCTTGTTTGGGGCTGTTCTCCCTGAGGACCTCCAGAGGGGCCTGCTCCTGCTTCTATAGAATGTTTACACACCTCCTTCGACTCTCGACTGAAATAATAGCTTATATTTTCTTAAATGCCTGGAGGCCAATGTGGGTGTCGTTTCTACTGTTGGCTGAAAACTATTGAAGGCTGGCTCCGGCCTTTCATAGTTAGGCAAAGGAAGTAAGGAAGTCCCTGATTAAGCGGGACTTGGTAAGCCATGACAAGGCCTTTCTGGTTTTTTTTTTTTTTCTTGTGAAGTTGTTCTCTTGAGAGCTGGGAATGTAAACACAGGTTTTTGAGAGTTTCAATGACCCAAATGAGAGTTCTTTCCCCAAGGGATAAGTATTACAAGTGTTTTCTGAGAGGCCAGGAACTTGCTGGAAGCTTAGGGCTCTGATCTTCACATCCCTGGCATTGATAGAGTCTTTTTGATTCCCGTGTCTATTCCGGATGGTTCCCTGTTGTCACTTGGAAAGGGATGGCCTTGGGTGTGGCCTGCAGATGGGAACACTGGGATTCGGAAGCTGGTGATGGTCCTTGGCATAGGCCGCACTGATAAGAGAGGAAGCCCATTGCTTCTGGAGCCACAGGCCTCACACTCTGTCTTTGCCCCCCGGGTCCCAGGTTCTCATACTTGTTCGTGCCCATCTGACTCAGCATCTGGGCAGTGTTCCACAGGTGTGGCAGCTGGGCAGTGTTCCAACATGTGGGTGGCAGGGAGCAAGGAACCATCATGAGCTCCTGGGGGACTGTGCCAACCTTCCGTTGATTTGAATCTTGGAATATGGAAGGCCTGTAAGGTTACATGCTGAAGTTTGCACTAAGGTGCTTCAGAGAAGCACAACTAATGAATCTCACCTCTCTCCTATTTCTCATTTATCAGCTACTTGCTACTCCCTGCTAGCTTTATTTGCATTTGTAGATAGTATAGAGTTGGTACTTCTTCATATCTCCACAGACGCATTCACTGCACTTTGTGTTTAGCCCCTCTTCCTCCCCACTCCACATCCCCAGCCTGCAGGTTCATGGTCTCTTCTTTGGTATCTTAGCTGCTGCGAACAGTACAGCTACGAACATGGGTGTGTAGGTCTCTCTGTGATAGCTGACTTGGATTCTTTGGGGCACATTCCCGGAAGTGCCGCTGCTGGATACATGGGCATTGTACTGTGGCTTTCCGAGCTTTTACAGTGGCTGCACTCAAATTTCCACCAGCACTCAGTGAGGCTTCCCTTGCTTGCACTCTTGCCAGCGGAGAGGCTTGTTTTGTAAGACATTGTGACAGGACTCAGACTGGTGGGTGGGTCAGAGGGCTGGCCGATCAGGTGAGAGCTGCCACTGGAGAATTGAGTGGAAAGGCGGCAGACCAGGCCAGCTGCTTGTGGCTGCCCGTGGGAATTCCACGTTGCTCCCTTAGTGCAGCAGGCAGTGGTGCGTGCTCTAGTCAGACTGTGTTACCAGCTCTGCAGTAAGAGAAAGAAAGAGGGGACACCTGCCTGTGAGGCAGCTGGAGGGAGGGGACAGGTGCAGGTCACGTTGGTTAGGTTGGGGCCAAGCTCAGTTATCTTACCTGGGAGACTTCAGCGATGCATCCAACTTATCTATAAAATGCACAGTACTAGAAGACAAAACCTGTGTAAAGTACTCAGGGCTTCATTCAGAACATACAGTCTATGTGTCTCACGCACATTAAGAACTACTGGGACGTTTTTTGTGTGTGTTTGAAACTTACATTTATCTAGTTTGTATGTGTGTGTGTGTGTGTGGTGTGTGTACGCATGTACACATGCACATGTCACAATATGGATGTGGAGGTCAAGAACAACTTGTGGTATTTGATTATAGCACGTGGGGTGGACCTGGGTATCAAACTCTGGCCTTCAGACTTGGCGTCAAGTGCCTTTGCTCACTGTACCGTCTTGCTGGCCTGTAACTGCTGTCTTCTGAACCCAGACTGATACACTACCCATTTCTTGGGGAAAGATACTAGGATTTACTTTCTTCCGAAAGCTGTAGTCGTAAAGTTAAAGAAAAGAAGGTCTGGGTGGATGAATCAGAGTTAAGAGAACTTAATACTTTGACTGAGGACACAGGCTTGGTCCTTAGCACCCCCATGGCAGCTCAAGTCACCTCAACACGCCCTCAACATGCTTCCAGCCTGTGCCTCCCCAACGCATACAGGGCCCGCCATTGTAGGGCCTTGTATACATGGTCAGGTAAAGATCCAGGTGAACACGGAAACAAGCTGCAGGTGATGACATTACCCTTTAAATAGACTTTTGATTCTGAGTACATGAGGGAGATGCATGTATATCTGTTTATTGCTGCATGATTCATAATGAGTAAGAAATGGAGCCAGCCTAGGTGTCTAGCAGCAAAAAGCTAGAGAAAGAAATTCAATTCTGCTGCGAAGAAAAATGACACTATGCCATGCACAGGCGACTGAAGCTACCACATAGCTTCCCAAGACCACGCGGCTGGTTTCCCCCTTTCCTTTCTAATAATAAATTTAAAGCATGCATACCCTTCTATTCTGGGATCAAAAATAAAATATATAATTGATGCAGTCACTACTTAGGCTCTGTGTCTCCATCCCACACAACCCTAAGACTGGGATGCTGAAGGCATGGCTGGATTCTGTTATAGGTGAGGCTCCAAGAGAAGGGATGAGGATGGGAAGAGATTCAGCACAGAAAGACCTGCCATGCTTCCTGTTTCTGGACCGTTTGCTCTCTCAGCTTACCTTCAATGGCAGGCTTCCTAGAGTTCCCTAGTCTCAAGGCCCTTGTTACCTCCATGCAGCCAGGATCGGTGATCTCTCACACTGTACATTTTATGCCAAATCAGTGCTGTTCTATCTCTGCATACAAGGGCCTACCTAGGACAGGCCTGGTAGGAGTGGAGCTGGGGAGGCCCAGGCCATTTCTTCCTCCTAGAGACTAAGGAGAGGAAGATTTGAGATGAAGTAGCAAGTGTGCATGTTGCCAGGGCCAATAATAAGTAGCCTGCAAGTATCTGTGGTGGACTCCATCTTCTTGTAAGAATCCCAGGGAGAAGCCATGACAGCCTTGAATTGACACGCTATTCCAGATGGTAGGATATTTTCCCCTTTCCTATATCTGCAAAACACAAGTTAAAATAGCCATGGTATTGGGTGAGCAGATTGTGTTGTTATATTCCAGGGATTTCAGTTCATATGCTCAGATTTAAAAATCTTCCCAACATGGTCAAGCAGGCGCCATAGACTCTGGGGAATTGGGCTTGGTGATAAAACACGTATATGAATCTAGAGAAGCCAAAGTTCTCATTTTTTGGTGATGTGTTATTTCAGGTCACATTCTGTGTAGAGTAGGTCCCTGCTCACTGGGCATCTGTTTTAGGAGGGTGTGCTGGCAATGCTCAGTGTTCAGGTTGTTGGGTGCTGCTGCCTCTGCTGACACCTGTGTTTTCTTTCCTGTCTCTCTTAGGCGGGGCAAGAAGAACAGCATTATTCTGAGGACACAGCTATCTGTGAGGGTCCACGCCTGCATTGGTGAGTGGCGTCTGTGGCAGGCATGTATGCTGTCTGCTCTCAATGATCATGTGTGATGGGAAATGACACAGAAACCGTAATTGTCATGTTATCTGCTTGGGCTAGCCCTCATGGGTTTCTGGAATTTTGGAAAAGCTACTTCTAGCAATCAGTTTTGAAGCCCGGTTTATTCCTGGCTTCCTTTGCTCTTTTGATTATGACTGGATATGAGGACAGCTTGAGGTCACTGATGGAGATCATTCTAGAAGTCATGAGGTTCTTCCTGGTTTGTCACCAGTGAGAACCTCTACCCAGCTGAAGCAATCCTTCATATGGCTCCTTGAAGGTTGCATTTGGGGAAATGGAGCCTGAGACTCCAGGTGTGGTCAGGTGACTGGAAGGAAATCTTGGGTCATTGGAGAGTAGGGGTGCAGAGTGCCATGGTGCATCAGTTACTTCTCATGCTGCTGTAATCAAATACCCGGCAGGAAGCAACTTCCGGGTGCAAAGGCTTTTGTTTTTGGCTTACAGTTTGAGGGACTATAGTTCTTTATGGCAGGGAAAGCATAAGAGCAAGAGTGTGAGGCAGCTGTCACACTGCGCTTGCAGTCAGGATGCAGAGGGATGAGTGCTGGTACCCACTGGCTTTCTCCTTTGTGTTGAGTCCTGGACCCCAGCCTTCAGGATGGTGTCACTCACATGCAGGGTGGTCTTCCCCCTTAAGTCTTTCTGGGAACAGCTTCATGAGCACACATACCCAGATTTACATTTCACTAGTCAATTTGAGAGTGAAGATTAGCTGTCACAGAACTAAGTAAGCAAGGTACTTGTGGTTCCACAGGGCTTTCCTGTGGTCATTGGAGGACCACTGGGTCATTCCTGCACTCGCTGGTTTTCCCACTGCAGCCATGGGTTCACTAGGAAGAAATGGATTTTATATGCCAAGAGGATGACCTCACAGGAATGGTAGATTCCTTCTAGTAGTAAACCAGGGGAAGCAAGAATTTAAAATCATAAAAAGAAAGAAAACAAAGTTTACTGTATGCATTAACGATCTCATATGTGCTTAAGTTTGCTTTTATTTGATGTTTGTTGTGGTCTTCAGGCTTCCTTCAATCAGGGGAATGTCAGTTATGCTACTGATGTTGGCCTGTACCAGAAATAAAGGATTCATGGATGGAAAGGAAGGAACACTTTCTGGTCCCTTCTCATCCCTGATGGATGAGAGGGCAGATGGACACTAAGGGGAATTTATGTCATTTTACTTTGGTGTGAAATTCTAGGAGTGGTGGCAAGTGTCAACCTTTGTATTGCTCCAAAGCAGAAATGATGGGCTGAAGGCCATTGTAGAGTGGGTTGTAATGTTTCTGGAAACCTGGAAAGGTCTGTGGGATGTGCATCACTGACCATCTGCAACTGCTGTAAGAGAGTATGGCATACACATGAATACTAACTCTATTACATCAATCAGTTGTTTTACATGCATGAAGTGTGTCTAAAGAAAAATCCTCTGACCCATCACTTTGTACACATTTCTCCCAGCTTTTACCCCAAATCAAGAACAAGCTTAAGCACATTCCAGGTGTGAAATAACACTGAAGCCCAACATGGAAAAGTAGCCGACACCTCCCCCACTCCCAGAGACTTGGGACATAAGTGTGGATGGACTTTCCTGGGGACAGGAAGGCAATGGAAAGTTGACTTTTATTGCAGTGGTCTGGCTCCGAATTTGAAGGTGCTAAATCCTTTTTAGAAAATGTGTTTGTGGGCAAGGGATACATCTCAACTGGTCATGTGCCTGTCTAGCACCCAAAGGGCCTTTGGTTTGCTCTCCACCAACATCTAAACTAAATAGGGTGATACTCACCTTTATTCCCAGCACTTGGGAGGTGGAGGCAGGGGCATCAGAAGTTCAGTGTTGTTTTTGGAAGCTTAGAAAGTCCAAGGCCAGTATGGGATACACAAGATTTTGCCTATAAACAAACCAATACACCCATCTGCCATATAAATACTATACCAAATGGCATAACATATCATGCAATACAAATTATACCAAATATAAATACAACCAAACCAATATAAATACTGAAATATTTTAACCACAAAACTTTTCTAAACATCCTTTGTGTTGTTGGCTACTTCTTGTTCGGTCTTCTATAATTGATGGAGATCACATGCTTTGCTCCACAGTATGTTGACCCCCAGTAGCCAGTTCAACCCATGCGGTGTGACTAGGACATCTCCACTATAATGCCTGGAGGGGTTAATCAGTTACTGATGTGTGTGTGTGTGTGTGTGCTCTCAACCTTCCTTATGCCAATTTGCCCTGGTTATTGCAAGCATCTAATTTGATGAAATAGTACCTAAATGTTTGATCAACTGATTGTGGATATAAAAAGTCATGGCTTTAAAAATTCACTGACTGTTTTGGAAAAGAATCAAAATTAGTCATTACAAAAATATTTAAGTCAAGTGTGAGCACGGCTGTCTATGAAAGGTGAAGGACGCTGGAAACATTTAGTTGGATTCCAGTATTCAGAAATGGTTTCAACTCTTACTTCACTTCAAGGGAACTGAATTGGGCAGCCATAGACCATGCTGCCAGAATGTTTCATGCCAGGAGACTCATGGGAAATTCTAGTTTGTGGAACACCTATGTCTGTGTCTCTGCAAAGGTAAGAAATGGTACTCAACCCCTAGAGTGCACACGAAGACAAGGTCTCGAGGTGCACAGGCACAGCTTTGAACGGATTCTCTCTTTTCGTTAGTCTCCGTCATCAGTAGCTACAGGTCCAGAGGGTTTGGATGGATAAACTGATGGCCGAGACAATAGGTTTTCTCTGCCTTGAAAACCGTCCTGTTGGGTCCATTTCTTCCTTCTGTGAGATCTGCAGTAGTTTAATCGAGACACCATTTGAGTGATACTGTTTGGTTTTGTATGGAAAGTGGAATGAACACATCTCCTCTTGAAGTGTCCTTCCCATTGGGACATAATCTTCCCCTTTCCAAGGGGCTACATTTCATGCCATTTCTTTGTTGTAACAAGACAGCACAACATGAAACAAAGCAAAACAATGAACAAAAGCTGGAGCAGCCTCCAGTTGAAATGACAAAGGAAAACAAGACAAGGGTGCAAACCCTTTCATATCAGTGAAGTCCTGGTTTCTTCTCAAGATCATTTCTACTCATGTTTATGTGAGAAACAGACTCATCTCTGAAGGTGCTGGCTGCAGCTGCCGCCAGAGGCTCAACATGATACGCAGCCCCCTGAAAGCACCCTGAAAACCTTGCTTTGCACCCATGGTCGTACGGAAAGGACCCACGATCAGCTTTTGTCCCGTGGGTCTACAATACCAGCAAGCCAGTGCTTTCCTCACCTCACCCCACTTCCCCTTTACTCCCGCTTGTCTGGAGTGGGGGAACGCTTCCAGTCCAGGGTGAGCACTGATGAATTAGAGGTGACAAGGGTTTGGAATTGTCCAGCACTAACTTTGGAAGCCTGTACCCACAAGAATAAGTGTGGAGCACAGCCTTTAAGGTTAGCAACTCTGCAACCCTGACAAGAACCAAAGGCCACACAGGGGCTCTGCTTTGATGGTCCTAGCTAATCTCTGAGACAGGTCTGCGTGATAGCGTAGGAGTTGCGACATGTTTGGCAGGAAGCTGGAATAAGAATTTGGTATAGAGAAGCCCCAGGCTTTTGTACCTTTATGCTCCTCCTTGCTATGACTTTTCTTTTGTATATTTTTAGTATGAATGCCTGATGTAATAATGTATTACAGAAAACAATGCATATATTGCCGTTTTAATTCAGCTTTGGTCCCTAAAGAGATAAAAACATTGTTTCCATCTTAGGCGTGAAACTATAGATCTAAATTAAAAAAAGAAATCTCTGATCAGCAGAAGTATGCATTTTATGAAGTTAGCAGAAAAAAAAATTGATTCTGCCAAGGATCCTATTTCAAGTCCAGAAAAGTATTCCAAGGGACTGGCTCTGATGGAAGAGCCACAGGAGGAACAGAAAGAAGCCAAGGAAGTGCAGGGTCAGGATGGAGTCCAGGATGGAAGAGAAAAAAGTGTGGCTGGCCACAATGGTATATGCCTTTAATTCCAGCACTTGGAAGGCAGAGGCAGAGGCTGGTAGATCTCTGTGAGTTCAAGGCCAGCCTGGTCAACATAGTGAATTCCAGGGCATCCATAGCTACATAGTAAGACCATTTCTCAAAAAACCAACAAGAAACCATGTGGAAATTGTGAGATCCTGTGATGGTCGATCTTATTCACCAATGTGGCTGAATTTAGAATCTCCTAGAAGATGTACCCAGCATGTCTGTAAAAATGTTTCCAGAGAACATTAACTAAAGAGGAAAGGCTGCCTTAAACCTGGGTGCTACCATCCCATGGCCCTTTGGAGGGGTGGAATAAAAGCAGAGTGAGAAGTCAGCTGAGTGCCAGGATTCCCCTTCCTGCTCCCTACCCCACTGAGCTGTGAACCAGCAGCTGCTCCATTCGGCATTGGCAGAGCTACCTGTAGCCACGCCATGATGGACTGATTTCTGTCAAACCACGAGCCGAGTAAACTTTCCTTTTAAGTTGCCTCTTATTTGGTCACAGCATTGACAACAACAACTGATACAGACCCTGAAGTTGACGTGACTGGGTTTTCTAATAGCTGCCATTTTTCGCTTGGCTTTAAGTCTTTTTTTTTTTTCTCTCTCACTCTTCTGAAGCTTGTCTTGTCTTTCCTTTAAGAGAAGTCAGTCCAGTTGATCAGTCCTGGGGTGGCCAGAAGTCCCGTGCTTACAAGTGTCCAGCACTGAATTAAAAGGGTGGCATTAAACTGAAGACGCTAAAGACTGTCGGGGCTGATAGCTGCAGAAGAGCAGCTTGGCACCAGGTCATCAGTGCCGTGTTCCCAGTTTTTGTGACAGTGAGGTGAGGGCGTGGAGATGGAGAGGTGGATAGAAGCTGGCAAGCTGGCTGAAGTAAGCAGTATCTGCATGAGGTTTGTCACACTGCTC